AAAACAAGATAATATTTTGAAAACTAATTAAAAAAAAAAATTATGATCCAATAAGAACTCAACTGAAAAGCTTTGCGTAGGAGAATACAATCTCTTTGTCCTATCATTCTCTGTCCTCCCTCTCTTGCTTCGGGTTCCTTATAAAGACTCCCAAAGTGTGGGTTACAAGTAAGCAGTTCCACATTCTAAAGAAACAACTAACCATTCTCTCTACAGCTAAAGCACTATAACATTTTCTCCACCTTCCATGGGAAGTGGGCTAGTGTTAAGTGGGTCCCACCCCATTTAAGTATTACGTGAATCATTATAGAAGAAAATTATGTACAAGTAGAATTTTTCAAGTAAATTAGCCGTGTCCTACAAGAGGGACGTGAAAGTTTACTTTTCTGGCAGCCTCGTGGTTAGTCAACAAATCTCTATTATTCTAAAATTTAATTAGTGTACGTGACCTATTGATTTATGACTATATGCGCTATTATTATATTATAATTCGATAGAGATAGATTAGAATTGGAACAGTGAACCATCTTTTTTTATTACATTTCTTTAGACCTCGATAGAATTTGCCAATGTTTTTGATTAAATCTTCTCGTTTCTTGAAAAAAAATTAATGACTAATTTAAATACAAAGACATCATACCTCTCTTTTTTATTCGTCCGTTCTTATAAATTAACCTCCTAGCTTTGCTCTTGGGTCAAACCTCATCCACGATTTGTTGTTGCATTGCAAACTCCAACAGTAATTTCCGGTCCCTTTTCAACACGATTTTGTCTGCCAATGTGCAACAAAACAAATTTATAAGGGTTTTGATTTAAGCGACTACGTATCACAAATTTGGGTTTTCAGACTGATATCATTGTTCGGTCCCATAAAGACGTAATAACCAAAAAATCAAGAAATAATCGCGCAAAATATTAAAGAACATAAGAAATTTTTCACCACTTAAAGGGGTCCGAATATTCACGCACTCTATATAATGCTACTCAACAGTTACATTTTTATTTTCAACCGCTAAAGGGGACGGTGGCAGGTGGAGGCTGTGGGTTTGGTTGTGGACCTGGTTGAATTTGGATGGGGTGGGCTAGAGTGAGATGGGAAAGAAGATGAATACATATTTTTTGTTTCATTTTTTAATATTTAAATATTTTATGTGAAAAATATAAAGTTACCATTTTACCTTTTTTTGAAATTGACTGGTCATAGTCATTTCTCCTTGTCTTTCATCTAACGAGAATGAAAGGTTGGGACCGACGCTGCAACACATAAAAGATTAGGATAAAAACTACAACAAATTGAAAGGTTTGAGATCGTGAATGTTATTATCATTTAGAATAATGTTCATCTGTACTTAATTCATTGCAATTGTCACAAAATTTTCATAACCCTACAATTTTCAAAATATTATTGTCTCCCACAATTCAAGTGTGTTTATAATCAGAAAAAAATAATTCTTTATTACATTTTTTTAGGAGAGAAAATTAATCCCTGTATTAAACTATTAAAATCACTATAATTCTTGTATATAGTCAATTCCAAAATTATTGAAAGTAAGACAATTTTAATTGTTAAAATTCCAATTTTTTGTTGGAAAAGCTCAGTGAAGCCACAATCATTTTGAGGTAATTGTTGAGCCCTAGGAATTCAGATGAAATATCAACAGCGTTTTGTAATATATTTCTCTTATTATTTTAAAAAAATCAACATTTTAAATATCAATAATTTTATGGCAAACTAAGGTGCCTGTTTGTCAACCATTATTAAGAAGAAAATTGTGTAATGAATCGTATTTTTTGGAAAATATGTGGTTTAAATTGAAAGAAACTTTATCGGTTTATGTGTAGAATATTTTATTATTTGAATGTGTGGTAGAGATTGATTACTGTAGAAAACAATTTTGTGAAAAATGGTAGATAAACATGGGCATACACTACAAGAACAATGCTAGAATTACAGAATTTTTTTTTTTTTTTGAACAATCGCATTTTTTTTTTTTGCAATATTT